AAAAAAAAAAAAAAAAAAAAAAACGTACTGTCTCTCAGCAAACGTTGAATCGTTAACACCCTGTTTCTAACCTCTTTTAATCCTTTCCAAGGAGAAAAGAGTCAGTCATTCATGCCCATGATCATCACACAGTAATTCACGCACGTCGCACACCCAATACCAGGAACATCGACCATCGGAACAGAGAAAGCAAGACTATCATAGCATCAAAGAATTTCAACACCCGTGCTTAATAATACAGTTGTGCTTCTACTCACAAGGTGATTCTAGGAATTCTCCAGAAAAAAAAAAAAAAAAAAAAAAAAAAAAAAAAAAAAAAAAACCTTAAAAATTGCTTGTTCTCCATGGAGATGTGGAGTACCGCATGGTTGGATACACCCAAATTGACAAACTCAAGATGGGGACCACCACCTGTCGTGAAAGGGGGTCACTGGGAAGTACTAACCCTTGGTCAACCCCCAACCATGTCACCAGTCACCCAGACTCGCACCTCCATCGAGTACCTTGTGTCTTGGAAGGGCTATCCTGACGAGGAATCTACTTGGGAGCCACTTGAGCACTTGACACACACCATGGATATTGTTCATGCTTATGACAGTGCTCACCTCGTGCTAGTCCTTCCGCATCTACTTCTCGTCAACATACTGACCCTTTTACCTCTACGACTCATGACACCATCTCTTCTACTCCTACCCCATCAACGGACGCTCCTGCTCCTTCGGTTCCTGCCCAGGTTATTCCGCCTCCTGCAACTCCAGCTACTTCAGCTTCAGCAGGTCGTCTGACTCACCCTCAGCCTAGCCGCCAACTCCCCTCTTGTTATCGCGACTGTACCCCCCTTCCTCACCCTTCTCAATTGTTTTACTTCTGGACATCACCTTGCCGGAGCTTCCTGATTATTTCAGCTAATGTCGACATCATTGCTCCACCTTCAGCATTGGAGCCTCTGCTATTTCCTGAAGTTCCTCCAACTTTGGCTTGGCAACTCGGAGACCTTCACAACTTCATGGACTACTTTTGGGACTTCGGAATTCGGCTACCTCCTTGCATATACCCATCTTTCCTCAAGTTCTAACCTGGTGCCATGATGGTTTCCTCCCTTGACATAATCTCCCAATTTGAGCTCTCCCAGCTTCACGCATAGGCATACGGGTCGTAGCGTCATTCTGGCATCTCATGTCCACAGTTCTGCCCTCCTTGCTCAGAGCCTTTCTCCCAAGTGTATTTTCCGGCTCGCATCCCTGTGGCCAGCAGTCTACGTCGACATCACCCTCCCTTCCAGGCTCATTATAATGTTGTGTCCTGGCCTTGTTTTTGGGTGCTTCCCTTGCTTATGGCCGATAAACGCCTTGATGGTTTACTGTTGCCCCCGTGTTGTTTCGTTCCTCCCTACTCCCGTATCCGATTAATATCCTGTTATTGTGTGGGTGCCCACTTGCAGCTTTTGCTCTCACTGGGCTACTTGTTTACTTGGTTGAGATATTGTGCGTAGTTGTATCATAACTTGTATGGGCATGTGAGCTGGTGCCTCATTCTTTTCTAGATGTAGGATACTGGTTCATTATTCTTTGGCCGTTAGGGCCAATTCCAGCAGCTATTCTTTTGGCCAAGTTAGCCTCGTTGCAACATTTTTCTTTTTGTTGGCCGACACAGGTCCGACATTTTTATCCTCGCTTGGTCGACACAGACTGGACATTGGATATTATTACTATGGTTGTTTTAGCTTGCATCACATATTTTCCTCATGGAGCTTGCTCCGCATTTTGGTTTGATTGGTTGTTCTCCAAGGTTTCCACTTCTTGCAGATAGCGTGTTTTGGTGTGTCTTGTGATCCATAACACGTTCGAGAATTGTGTAGCAGTACCGCTCTGGGACCATCATGTGGCACGCCAGTCAGTTCCAGACTGTCGGTCTGTTCCTGGACCAGTAGGTGCAGCATCCAGATCGTCCCCTGGAATGACCAGGTATATCTCTATGTACATTGCTTCTTTGTTTCTCTCTGGTCACATTGGCATTCGACCAGTCCATTGAGCTGGACAATTCCACAACTCAGCTGCTGCCTCA